GAAGGCTATGATTAGAACTGATTATCCACCTCCCCGAGAGTACTAATTCCAGCATGACCTATATCTCTGCTTACAACACTCACCAGAAGAATCCCTGGCCTCCAGATCATCCTTCATCATAAAGATTTTTACCCTATTATAGTCCTCTACATTGCCTAATTAGAATCAAACTCTAACCCTCAAAACAACTTCTAACTCCTTCCACTGAGACCTATGGAACTCAGGGTCTGCCATTAATACAATCCCCTTGCTAAAGACTGAATGTTTGTGTTCCCACACCCCTCTCCCCTGCCAAATTCATGTGTTGAAACCTAATCCTCAAAGTGATGGTATTTGGAAGCGGGGCCTTCAAGAAGTAATTGAATCTTGAAGGCAAAACCTTCCAGAATGGGATTAGTGCCCTCAGTAAGAGAGATTCGAGAGCTCCCTCACCCCTTCCATCATGTGAGGACACAGTGAGAAGAAAGCAGGTTCTCATCAGACACTGAATCTGTCGGCACCTTGATCTTAGACTTCTTAGAACTATGAGAATTAAATGTTCATTGTTTATGCGACACCCAGTCTATGGTATTGCATCACAGCAGCCTGGACAAACTAAGACAATCCTATATCCTTCGACCTCCTCTGATAGGTGTTTCTTTCACCCCTTTAGCTAACTGAAACCTGGATACCCCTTGAGGACGAAGCGCACTTCCCTTGTAGTTCTCTCTAGTGACTTCCCTTGCAGTCTTTCAGCTCACTCCATTCCAACCAATCTGTCTACCTCCCTGAGACTAAGAAACACAGTTTCACCTACTGATATACCAATGCTTTCCAAACATTAAATTGCAACCCATTAGTGTGTAATAAATAGAATACTTTTAAAATAAAGTAATAAAATAAAAAAGGTCAGCATATACTGAATATAGTTAAGGTGTGTTTTGTTTCAGAGAAGTTTTTTTCTATTATATAAATGATTGATTTCATATATATTTATATGTAATATAGATTTATAATGAATATGTAATAAATATATATTTATGTGGAAGGGCCCCTCCTGCAGGTACCTCCCCCCCACCATCGGGCCACCACAGATGAGAATAAGTCTACCAAGACATGATCTGCTTGGGGAGGAAAGGTGGCCAATCCCTCAAAGAAGAGCCAGGAGCCTTTCCCTCAATGGGCTTTTAGTGGGTTTGTTTGCATAGGAATACAGGGCATATATACAAAGCTCATCAATCATTGTCAGGCAGTAAGGATCAAACAATAGATAACATTCGAAGAACTCTGAGGGCTTATTTTGGGTCAGGGTCTGATAGCTAAAGGGCCATAAAACTTTGGGGGGACAAACTCACTTTATGCTTGGTCCCTTATCATTTAAATTGAGGGTATTAGCAAAGTAGGTTTCATAGAATTTTATGCATTCTTTCTCAGGCCTGATCAAGCCAGGGAACCCACCCTTTCCAGAACAGGGCTGCACTTACCCCCAGCATTGTTTCAGGGTTAAGTTTGGCAGGGGAAGTAAGGCAGCCAAGAGATTAGGAGACTTCTTGCTGACAGAATGAGGACTTAGGCTATGTCAAAAGTGAGAGGGCGAGGGTCCATCACCCCCTTTTTCTATAGCCCCCCAAGTCCTTCCCTGGGGGCCCTTTTGTGACCATGCCTGTCTTAGGTTGTTCCTCCCTTGAGGAATCTTACCCATGATTGGCTAACTGGTTTAGCACAGGGGGCCAGGCAGGGTGAAATAAAGTGGGCAGAACCAGTGCTCCTGCCAGGGGGATAAGTTTTGTCTCTTTAGTGGCTTATTGTCCCAAGGTCTTTTTACTCAATCTTAGCCTTACAGCTTACAGCTTCTGAAACCAGGCAGGGTGGCTCCCAACATATTTACATATATATTTATAAATATATATGTATATATATAATTTACATTAAAATATATGAAATAAATCTTATATATTATATAAATATATAAAAGCTGACAGGGAAGAGACTAAATCTCTTAAGGGTTGCTTTTTTCCTTCCTTCTTCCCTCCCTCCCTCCTTCTCCTCTCTTTTTTTCTTTCTTTCTTTCTCTCTCTCTCTTTCTTTTTTTGAAGTCCCGTAGAGAATTTGGGATCTTAAATGTCTGGGAGCTCTTCCTGAGTCCCAGGCAGAACATTGCTGTATCACAAGGAACTCTGTATTCCACATGCTAGAAACTGGCTATAGGCCCAGTTCATCCCATTCTGTTGTTCTGAACTCAATTAACAGGGCAGCCCTGGACCAAGGATGATATAATTAGACCCATTAGGTATATCACTTACATCACTAAATATAGTGACTTCCTATGGCTTGACATGGCAAATAAAAATCCTTGACCCACTATTCTAATCTCTCTAACAATGTTACTATTTCTTTTTTCCTCTACTCTAGACCCCCTCACATCTCTATTCTTCATCCCACAGCATGCCACACAGCACGTCCATTTCTACCTTCTGATTCTATCCAAGATGCTCTTCCTACATTTTGTCTTCAAAGCTGATCTTGACACGATTCCACAAGAAAGTCTTTTAAAAAAATGGAATCACCTGCCTACTACTCATTATATATTGAATTGCTCTGCCTTATAATATTACATAGGAGTTTGGACTTGTCCACATATTACTGTGAAAGATAAGGTACAACTCTGGTGACTGGCACACCAGATTATATGTCTAAGGCCAGGGCCTAATTTCCAATTTTGCCTTTTGGCTCACTTAATGCTCTTGAACCCATGCTGAGATAATATCTACACCTCACAGTCTGTTGACTGACAGCTAAAGAGATGACACATTAAAAGCATAATATAAAAGTAGTTTACATTTTTTCCCCAGTGATTTTTAAGACAGGGTCCTGGCATAAAATAGATGTTTATTAAATATTAATGATATACTATGGTGCCATTAGGCCAAAGTTTATTTTGCCTCAGTTTTGCTTGCTTTGGATCAAATCTCACATGGGCTTATTACCCAAAAGAGGAGAGGATGGTCTATGCTGCTTGTCATATCTGCCAGCTCTCCCCAGATCTCCCTCTCAGGTAGTCAGGTTTAGACACTTCATTATGTTCAATTTAAAATTGTGTGGCAGAGGCAATGCTCAGACCCCATTTCCTTTTCTACTAGGCACACATACTTTATTTCCCAGCCATCCCTGCGGTTAGGTAGGGCCATGTGACCATATACCTGAATTCTGGCTAAGGGAATAGGGTGAAACTGATATATACCATTTCTGAGGCTGGCTCCTGAGATCTCTGACAGTCAACCACATCTCTCCTTCCTTATCTGAGACCTATGGATTGGATGATTCCAAGGCAACAGGGGATGGCGAAGCTATAAGACAGAAACAGACTGTTCCTTCCATGATTGCAAGAAGCAGACACCCCACCCAAGTGGCCCCAACCAACCCACTACACACTGTGACCTGTATGAAACATAAGCCTTTCTGTGTTCCACTGAGATATGGTATTGTTAGCCTATCCCAATGAACACGTCTTGTATTTACCACTGGGGTAACATAAATAAAAAGAAGACTTGGACTTAGTTCTAGGACCTGAGGTACAAATCCTGGTTCTACCGCTCCCCCACATATCCCATGGTCTGCTCTGGAACACCTTCTAGACCCTTTCCCAACTGCGTGTGTAGCACATTCTGCTCTTTCTCATAATGGAGCCCTCCCCATTCTTCTGCTTTAGGGATTCTGTGGGATCTTCTCTGACTTCCCTCCTATATGTGTTCACTTCTTTGCTCCTAGTGCAAAGTATTCCTCCATTTTAGCATCCATTACATTTTATTGCAAATATTTCTTGATGTCTGTTTCCACAGACTGAGTCCTTAAATCCACAGACACTTCCTTTGGGATTTAGTTGCAGTGCTTGGCACACAGGAAAAAATAACTATATATTAAAGGAATGATTGTCACCTATGACTTTAAGTGAGTCATATATACTTTTAAGTCTGTAAGATTTTATAGAATTGTTGTGATGATGAAATAATGAATGCAATTTGTAGATTATAGATTCTAATGTTAATGCGCTTATTCTCATCTTTTCCAGTCAAATTCATCTCAATGTTTCTAGGTAGCTCTGTCCAACAGAAGTGCAATGCAAGCCACATACATAAAATTTAAACATTCTAGTAGCCGTATTAAAAAGTTAAAAGAAGTACATAAAATTAATTTTAGTAAGTTTTAACCCAGTACATCCAAAATACTGCTTATTAGCTATTTTACGTTTTGTCACTGAAGTCCACACAGGGAGAGTTCACCAGCCGCATGTGGCTGGCTAGTGGCTCCTGCAAATTGGACAATGCAGCTGCAAGGCCTGTGGTCTCGGTGACGTCCCCCGCCCCAGCCGCCGACCACACGCATTCGGAGTTAGTGACCCCTTCTCAGTGCCCTCTCAAGCCCTCTATCCTTGTTATCGTGAAACCTGCAAGGTAAGCTCCGTGAGGAATTCCAGACTCGTGTCTCGCGAAATCGCTCTCACAGAGGTTGTCTGCCATATAACGAGGTTATGAAATGTCGAGGTAGTTGATGAACCCGTGTGCGAAGAACCCCGTGGGAGACCGAATGGCTGGGGCGGAAAATGGCCAGTCACGGAGCGGGCGCGAGCCAGAGGCCGCGGCAGGCCGGGACCGTGGCGCCTGGGCCTGAGCCGACCCCGGGGTGGCGTCCCGGCGCGGCCGGGTCCGCGGACCCCTCCCACTGCCCGCGCCGCCGCCGCGGCCGCCGAGCCCCGGAAGCGGGCGGGGATTTCCTGTGCCCGCCCCGCCCGCGCCGGCCGGGCCGCCGTCTCCTCCTGTAGCTGGCTCCGCGGCGGCCGGCTGCGCCGAGGCGAAGGGCGGAGGGGAGGGGCAGGCGGCGGCCAGGAGGGAGGCACCGGGCCGTAGGCCAAGCCGACCCGGGTGAGTGGGGGCGGCCGGAGGGAGTCCCGGCTGGAGGGAGGGACGCCCCGCTTCCTGGGGCGGCGGGTGGGGGCCCGGTTGCCGGGGAGGGCGCGGAGGAAAACCGACGCGGCCTCTGGGTCGGAGCTTTTCCCTGGGGTCGGCCCACGGACATTTTCGCCCGCCGCGTCCCTCTGTCTGCCTTGTCCCCGTCGTCGCTGCCGGCCCTTTGGGTTTCCGGCGCTGTCACTCGCGCACAGGTTACCCCATGGCCCCTTTCTCTTCACTTGCTCTTGCCCCAGTTCACGGGAAACCTGTTTTCTGACCTCACTTCCCCCGCTCCAGCTCTGCCTGTCTCGAATGCTCTGAAATCTGACCCTCTCCAGGGCTCTGTGACAGGAAGGAGGGAAGAAGCAACCCGACTCCGCAGCAGGCGCCCATCTGGCCCACGCCCCACTCGGGGCAGGGGCCAGGCTTCTCTGACCGAGCGCCACTGCCCCGGTGCCCTTGGGCGACGCCTTTCAATACCACGGCCCTTTCTCTGTCCAGCAGCACTGGCCGCAAAAACTAACTTCTGCAGGTGCTTGCTCCCCAACCCCCCAGATATGTGAGGAAGAGGAGGATGTGAAAGCCCTAGAACCCGACTCCAGTAGGCCTGGGATCGTCCTGCGACCAGGAGAGAAACCAGGTTAGGGTTGACACCCTAACTGCCCAGGTGCTGGCTCTGCATCTTAGGAAATGCAGTCTGAGGATAGCTACCACCCCCTCCCTCCTGTGCTGAGATTTCTTTGCCAGCACTTCTACACGTTTTGTGTTCGTTGTCTGTAGAGGCCGACAGCTGGCCCAGTGGGCTCTGCGGAGACAGACCTCCCATCCAGGGACTCTGCTGCTGGGGAGGTGGAGAAATGAGTTTGAGACAGGTGTCCAGATATTCAGGACAGGGAGAGTCCTGAGGAGGATTTGTGAAGGAAGTTAGAGAACAGGGAAGACTTCTGGTGAAGAGGGAGAATTGGTTCCTTTTATTTTAAAAGTGAAGTGAATATGAGGCCAGAATTCAGAAGATAGAACCAAAGTAGAAGTTTCCCTTTCTTGCTTTATCAGGAATTTTACTTTCTCATGAGAGGTCTCTGAAAAGGAAACCTCCTAAACTGGGAATCAGTCCAGGATGCTCCTGTGGGGCCCTGGGGCATCTTTGGACTTCTGAGATGAAAGAGGAATTTGTTCCCTTCCTGTGCATTGGGCTTAGGGTTTCCATCTACCTCTTTGTCCAAGAGAAATGAACAACTTTGTATCTGTTATTACCCACCCTGGACTTCTGGGTTCCTGCAGCTGTTGTTGGGTGAATGCGAGTGAGCCAGAACGGTTACCAAGGTTCTGCCAAGGAGAAGGGGACTCTGCGCCATCTCATAGACTGTTTGTCTGCCATAAGGCAGCAAGGTTCCTATCACAACACAAGTGGGACCTATGCTGCTTTTAAGATGTCCAGAGGAATAAAGAGCTCATAAACCCAGTCCCGTGTACTGCCAGATTATTGTTAAGAATTTTTTTCATCTAACCTAAACCTCTTGCAGTCAAAAGATCTATACAAAAATAGAAAACATTTTTATTTTTATTCATTGGTAGTATCATTCATTAGTCTTCTTCCTTAGACAAGATGAAACTGTCCATCATTTTTAACTTTTCCCCAATGGCCAGATTTCCTACCCTTTTCTTCTGAGGGAGAAACAGAAGTGCTCTTGACACACCCACCCCGTTGGCTGGCACATCTACCCATAGTAATCACTCCATCCCAAATCAATCATAGCAGTTGAAAGTTGTGGCAGAAGATCTATGTGACTATATCCATTTTCTTTGGGTGTAGTCTGTGCACTTCTTCCTACATTTTTCCAGGTTGCCTCCTTTACTGTATTTTCAGTGGTTGGAACGAGTGGATAGCTTTTGAATCTCCAGGATTGTTCCTTTTATTTTTTTTTTTAAATGAAGTTCTTCTAGCATTCAGAGATATTCTGTTTCTACCATGAGGTTACCAAAAATAACCATTAGTGACTTTGCTTTGTAGCACTTGCTCATTTCTTAGTTCCTTCAAGAAGCTTGGCTCAGGCTTGGTTGATTGGAATACATCGAGCTTTTTAAGTTCATCTTCCATCAAGCTCCTCTTATCCAGTTTTATCTTTTAAACCTCAGCTGTTCTTCCTGACTCCCTTGAATATCAACCCTTACCACTCTCATGGGAATAGCTAATATGAATTTGTTCCAGGTCACAAGTTGGATTCACAGCAAAGATGCTTTCGGAACAGACAGCAGCCCTGGGGACAGGATGGGAGTCGATGAATGTCCAGCTGGATGGAGCAGAGCCCCACGTGGAAAGGGGAAGCCAAGAAGAGGGGCCATGGAGAACAGCACCAGGGCCACTGGAACACATGTGCTGTGACCTTGAAGAAGAGCCACAGTCCCTTCAGGAAAAGGGTGAGGGCCTGGAGGGTGTGTGTATGGGAAGTATGGTGCAGAGAGTAGCCTCCTAATCTCTGTTTGAAAAGTAGAATCTAAAATCTCCAAATTGCTATGGACTGAATAGCATAATCAATACCAGAACTAGTCCGTTCTTCCTTGGCCCTGGTCATAGGAATATAAGGAGCTCCCATATTCTGCAAACCATGTAACTGGGCTCCTCCCACTTCTTGCATAATCACTCCCTCCCTATGCTGCAGGTGCATCTTTGTGGTATTTAATATGAGAGACTAAAGAAGTCTGAACTGATTACTGGTGGAGAACACACCCAGTAAAATGGTCTTTACATGAAGAAAATTACATTCACATAATATAAATTCGGACCACAGCTAGTCTAGTAGAAATGGATGACAGAACAGCTCTACTAAAAACTGCTCAATATACTTACAGAACATCTTGAGTGAAGGTCTCTTCTACTATATTTCTGCATTTGAGTTTTGCCAACAGGCATAGATAAAGGAAAAACTGTGGTCCTTAAGCCCTGCTAAAATGGAGTCCAGGGTATTACTGGGAAAGGATGGATGGTACCCCTCTAATGGTTCCTTTCTCCCCTCACCAGCTCAGTCGGCTCCCTGGGCCCCCACCATTCCCCAGGAGGGGAGCACCGGAGACTGGGAGATGGCAGCTGCACTTCTTGCAGCCGGATCACAGGTAGGCTGTATACTTTCTTTCTCCTCGTACAGGGTCTCATCACCACTGCCCTTCTATAGCCTTAGTGTCATCCCACTGATTTATTATTTCACATGGTCCCTAATAGTGTGTTCATCTTATCACTAAACAGATTCTGTACCTTTCCAAGGGCTTCATAATACCCTTAAAAAATGAATGGAGGCCTAACAAGAGGAGGGGGATTCCTAGAAGTTAGGTTTGTTCTTTTTAATAGATGGCTATGCTATCCACAGGGGGATTTTAAGAATAATTCATTAATATTCTTAAAAAATAAAATCTCTAAAGATTAGGAACTTGAAGGAAGCTTGGAAGAGCTTAAGTAGACAGGATTGGGTGGATGGTAGAACATTTATGGAAAAGGACAGGAAGAGATGAAGGTACTTGTGTAAGGCCATGATGCTAATAAGTATCAGAGCTTGGAATCATTTGGCTGTAGAATCTGGACTCCTAAACACCATACTGTGCTGCTGCAGAAGGTAAGGGGTGGGAGAGAATGTTTTATCTATATGTTTAGTGCTGATAGAATAGTAATGGTCAAGTGGGGGGAGGAGGGGACAGTACATCATTTCTTCAGTGGAAATAATAATGGAGAAGAGCCTGGGCAGACACCTGTCATTGAACAGAAGGAACAATGAGTTTCTAGTGTCCGACTTCTTCTGGTCCCATTTTAGAAACTTCTCTAGAGGCACTGTCCTCACTCACTCACTAACCATTACCTTTACCCCTCCCCTCATTTTCCCTTCACCACAACTGTGTGTCCTACCCAGAAACGTCTGGGCAATTCTTTTTCTAGATCTTCTCTTGTCCTCTCTCTTTCACTTCCCCAGCCTTTATATTTAGATCACATTTTCCTTAAGGAATAGCTGGTGAGAGATGATGGTATATTTTGTTTCAGGGTTTGGTAACCATCAAGGATGTGTCACTGTGCTTCTCTCAGGAGGAGTGGCGGAGCCTGGATCCTTCTCAGACAGATTTTTATGGAGAATATGTCATGCAGGAAAACTGTGGGATAGTGGTCTCTCTAAGTAAGAATGACCTTCACCAGCCTCTAAAAGATTGTACTGTGGGAGGATGCCATGTGCTCTGGGCGGTTGGATAGTGTCTGTCTAGCATTCTTTCCTTGTCAGGGAATCTGTCTTTCACCAGAGAAAGAACAGTAGGTCTAATACAAAGAGAATGGAAGTGAGGTATTATTTTTTAAAGACAACAACAAAATAATGCTAAATTATGAAGAAAAGAATTTTAGGCTCTTTGGGAATTGGCAGGTTCTTATAAAGCAGAGAGAAGGACATCTGAGAGATGGAACTGAGTTATTGGAAACTCAGAAAGATGGGAGTGCTGGGGCAGGGGCAGGGGGACCAGCTGCATTGGAGTTGATTAAATGGAGTTATGACCAAGAAGGTCAGTTGAGTGGGAAGTATTTGAAATATAAATGGACGGGAACATACACATTGTAGAGGAGGGAGTGATTTCCTAGAAAAAAGGACTTAAGAAATGGGAGGAGAAAAAGAGGGAGGGGCCTGTATCTGGCCTTCTTTTATCATGAGTTCTAAGGAATAATATAGAAAACTTTTTTCAAAAATATAAAATTACTGTTTTACTAATTGACATCCCTATTTCCTTTTCCCATGGACAGGATTTCCAATTCCAAAGCTGGACATGCTTTCTCAGCTAGAAGGAGGGGAAGAACAATGGGTCCCTGACCCACAGGACTTAGAGGAGAGGGACATCCTGAGAGTCACATATACAGGTAAGATCCCAGAGTGGACTTTCAGCCACAGCCTTCACCCCTCCTGGAGTGTCATCATTATATGTCATTCTAGTCCTTCCTCTGCCTCAGAGAGTCACAGAGGTAAAAGGTTTAGAGATGTTTTTCTTTAAAAAGCAAAACAGTGTAGCAGAATGGTATAGAGGGGAGGCTCTGGAGCCAAACTTTGTGGATTTGAATTCAGGACCATACCTTTGGGACCATGGAAAAGTAGTAATTAACCTCTGTTTGGGTTCCCCATCTGTAAGTTATTGCAAGATTTAAATATCTCAACAGGGATAATAGTAGCAGACACATGATAAGCATGCAGTAAACATTAGCTGTTGTTGTTGTTACTGTTGTTGTTGTTCAACTTCCCACCCATTGCAGAAACGCCTTCCACAGCGTCTCTAGTATTGCGGACAGGAGGCCAGCCAGCCCATAACGGTGGCAGCACATTCCTTAACTCTCCATTTATACTTAGGCAGGAAGATGGTAATTAATAGTAAAGTGGTAAATAAATAATGCTAATAAATAATCACAGTAGCATAGACCATTTACTAAGTACTTACCAAGTGCAGGTACTATGCTATCTATCTTATAATTATTTCCATTTTACAGAAGAAGAAATTAAGTAGGACAGCTGAGATTTAAAATGAGGTAGTCTGTCTCCTAAGCCTAGGCTTTTAACTTCTACACCTCTTGCACTGTCTTGCGGGACATTAAAATCTGTTCTCTCAGCCCTCGTTGGGTGAGGTTTAGGCCCTAACAGCGTCATCCAACCTCACCTATGACTTGGGTCCTGAGGTACTCACTGGTGACTCCCCTCTTGGGGTCGCTATTTCCCCTTCTCCACAGGAGATGGAAGTGAGCATGAGGGGGATACCCCTGAACTAGAAGCAGAACCTCCCAGAATGTTATCTAGTGTGTCTGAAGATACTGTTCTCTGGAACCCGGAACAGGATGAGAGCTGGGATTCCATGCCCAGAAACTCCAGAGGAATGCTCCTAGGCCCACCTTTTCTTCAGGAAGATAGCTTCTCAAGTCTTCTGTGTAGCACAGAGATGGACTCCCTGTTAAGACCGCACACGTGTCCCCAATGTGGGAAACAGTTTGTGTGGGGCTCCCACCTTGCCAGGCACCAGCAGACTCACACTGGGGAGAGGCCCTACAGCTGCCTCAAGTGTGAGAAGAGCTTTGGACGGAGACATCACCTGATTCGCCACCAGAAAACCCACTTACATGACAAGCCCAGCAGATGCTCTGAGTGTGGCAAGAATTTCCGATGCAACTCCCATCTGGCCAGCCACCAGAGAGTGCATGCAGAAGGCAAATCCTGCAAAGGTCAAGAGGTTGGAGAGAGCCCTGGGGCTAGGAAACGGCAGCGTGCCCCACCAGTGCCAAAGTGCCACGTGTGCACTGAGTGTGGGAAGAGCTTTGGCCGACGGCACCACCTGGTGAGACACTGGCTGACCCACACCGGGGAGAAGCCCTTCCAGTGCCCTCGCTGTGAGAAGAGCTTTGGCCGGAAGCACCACCTGGACAGGCACCTGCTGACCCACCAGGGACAAAGTCCCCGGAGCAATTGGGACAGAGGGACATCTGTCTTTTGAAATCTGTTTCTGCTGTAGCTGTGCTCACATCTATCAGCTGGTGCTACCAGGAGTTTCTGCCAGAGCTGCCCCTCTCCTGTCCCCAGTGGCCAGGATCCTGAGCCTTGGCCTTATCCCTAAAGATGAGGTTCCAGCATTGGTGGGAGCATTTCTCACCAGTTCTGTGAGATACCACATAAAATAGTTCTTTGGGCAAAACTTTTGGGAAACAGTGCTTACGACATGGGCTGAATTTCAGTCTGAGCTGAATTTCTCAAGGGTAGTGAGTGGTACCAGTAGTTTATGGCTGAGGTCCATTCTGATTGGTTGGAGCCTGTGCCATACCAGTTGTTAAATATTTCAAGTATCACCATTGTATATCATGACTCATATTCTCTTTATATATATGTCTATATATGTGTATATATATGGAGAGAGAGTGAAAGACCATGTTGACATATTAAAGGCTCTGAAAATTTATGCAGTAGAGCAAATTGTTAAGCCTCTTAATGCAGTGTTTCCTAACTGTATTTGACCTCATTTTTCTTTCTATCTTACATCCCCCAGAACTGGTGACTCCATGAAACACTCTAGTGAACACTGGGTTAGAGTAACGAGGAAAAAGGAAAGAGCCCCCATATTTTGTCCAAACGAAAGCTGAGGGGCAGATTTCATTCCTGGTCCATCACCCTCACCTCAGTCATCCGAATATATACATCCACATCTTTCACCTCACCTGCCAAAAGATAGAAACAATAACTTTTCACCCCTTATTTCTACTCCCTTTGTCCTGCAAACACATAACATCCAGCTGAGAGATCATCCTACCATGCTAAGAGATGGACCTTTCATACCCTCAAGTAATCCAGACTCACACAGAAGAAAAAAACTTTATCCCCTTGGATAGTCCCCTCTTCTCTTGTGTCTTTATGTGTCTGTGTGTATCTGTGTACAGGGTTTTTGAAGAGAGCATGCAAAGTGCAAACTGTAAAAGCTAAATTTTCTAGCGGCTGTGTTCTGTTCTGGTGATGAGGGTCGTGGGGATTGTATGGGGTTTGTATTTTGTTTCAAGATAGGAAGTAAGCAGAGCGCTTAAGGAAGCCTTAGTGGGAAGGGTTAAGTGGTGGCTTCTGTTGTGGGAGTTGAGGTATAAAGCCTTCTTGAGTGTCACTGAGATCAAGACAACTGAATATATATGTTTAGGTCTGAATCTTTGGCCCACAGATTCTTTTTGCCTGGGTAAAGAAAGTGAGAAAAAAAATGTCCTCTGTGAGGTGAGCTGTTCTTGTTGATTTCAAGCAAGCTGCATATAGAGCTCTGTGCTTAGTGGGCTTTGTTTGTTTTTAGTCTTGTTTTAAGTGCCGGGAAATTAGGGCAGAAATCACAGTGCTTACTGGTTGTTGTGATTGCTCTTGTTTGATCCTGATTGCCTCATCAAGGTGGCAGAGTTATTTTTGAGGATTTCATCTTCCCAGAAACAGAACTTTAGGGGAAATGGCTGTGGTTTAGCTTTTCAGCTGATAGGAGGTAATTAGCTTCCCATTTGGTTTTCCTCATGATTCTGGGAAAGTGTACACACTAAGAGTCTTAATTCCAGAACTTGCATAAGTATTCTAGCATCTGTTAGTTGGTGAGTTGGTCATTGTTCCTCTTTATTGATGATGTGTTAGTACCGATCTTATAATTTAAAAATTATCTTGTATGTAAGAGCAGTTTGGGGTTAGGGAGGGAAAGGAGCAAAGAGGATGAAAGTAGATATTTTCTCTTCAACGCTCATTCTGGTTTGTCCTCAACACACTAATTGGTGTGTTGGTGGAATTATCCAGAGAGGTAAGAAGGTGGAATTAGCCAGAGAGGTAAGAAGGAAGTGAACTGAAACAATCTAGTCTAATAGGAATTTGCTTAGGAAAAATGGGGTGAATTATAGGTCCTCAGAGTTCAGGACTCAAATGGAGCTAAAAATAGGGTCACTTTGCTGAATGGGCTTCTTAGAATGGCTATGACTTGATCACCCCAGTCCCTGCTGTCCTTCTGCATCCAAAGCAGCCTTCCTTCTTTGGAATGTACTTCTCTTGCTTATGTTCCTAGGAATAGAGCAAAATGGACAGCCCTTTGCAAGGCAGCTTTGTCCCAGGCCCTCAGAGACAGGAGCACATTAGGGTTAGGAGATGCCTCAAGGAATAAGAAAGTATGGCATTACAGTGGTAAAACTGGACTATGCCATCATTCATTCATGCAAGTCAGCTCTATTAAGCACTGGTTCAGAACTTGTTTTGAATCAGAGACCCTTTTGAGAATCTGATAAAAACCAGGAACTCATTTTTGGAAAAAAACCCCAAAACATTAGCAATTCATTCAGTTTTTCATACACATTTAGCAGGCTGGGGTCAAAGGAGAGGAGTTACCCTGACCCAGTGTGGTCATTAGGTATTTATGTCAAGAATTACAAGGCAAGGGTCACCACGTAGTTTAATGAACATGATACCAGAGGCAGTATGGTATAAAGAAGATAGGGTCTGGTCTTTAATGACCAGAGGGTATTGTTTACAGTCTAGTTTACATATTTTTTTAAAAGTTGAGCTGACAAATCCAGCTCCTCACAAACTTTCTTTTAAAGTTTTGTAGGAGGTGACTCTCCATACTCACAGATCACACCTCTTAATAATCAGATGTTAACCTCCAGCCTTTGATCTGTTTCAGTAATTGTAAGGACAGAAAGTGAAGCCCCTAAAGTGTAGGTGTCCTCATAGCACACAACTGAAGGCATAAGGGCCGTCTGCAGAAGGGGCATCCCTTTAGGGCATTTCTGATGTGCCACTGTCTTCTCTACCTCGGTCCAACACCACTTCCCTTGGATAAAAAATAAAATAAGCAACAGCCATTGGGGGTGGATAGATCTAAATGATTTTCCCACAGGGAATCAGCCTCAAACTCTCATCTTTCTCCCAATTCTCTCTGCCACGTGTCTATCCTACCTGCTTTAAATAAAAAATGTCTGTGTTCTCTCTGGGCAAAACGGAAAATAGAGAAATCCCATATAAGGAACCTGTTCCCTTTGTGGAGCCTCTGCTCTATTCAGGGCCCAAGTATCTTCTCCTTTTCATCCCAACAAAGAATCTGTAAAGAATTTCTTACACAGGAGAATGTGACCCAAAGTGTTAGCTTTACCCAGATCTATCTACATTTAAGTGTTAGCTCTGGTAGTCAAAGTGAAAGAAAAAGCTTTTCCCCTGTTAAAATGATGTTATTATGCCTTTAGGGAGCTGAAGGGGTGATAATTTGGGACAAAATCCTCTCCTTTCCAGCACTCCTGCAATCAAGTCACTGTTTCCGATTTCTGTCAAGGGCAAGGTGAGCTCTGACTCAGAACCACAGGTACCAGAAGATGGGTTCTTTCCATCTCTGTTTGCTTGGGGGTGGGTGGGTGGTGAGTGGGGCTGGATGATAACAGAAAAGTGAAATCTATTTCCTTAGACACCTTTGAGATCCTGAGCTGGCAAAATTTCTTTCCCATGGAGTACTCTAGTAGGCCCAGGCTCTCAAGGTGTGTGGTCTTTGGACCAGCATAATTAACATCACCTATTGAGCCTGTTTTAGAAATGCAAATTCTCAGGCTCTACCCGGGACAAACTGAATCAGAAACAATGAGGGCGAAACCCAGCAATCACCTGCCTTCCTGGGTCTCTCAGGTATGCCAATGTTTGAGAACCTCTGGCCTAGAGATTCAAATTCCATTTCAATCAGTGGTACTTCACCCTTTCCAAGTGGGGAGAGAGGGGATCTTTACACCTGTTACCAGATTGGTTTTCTGCAACCTCTCTAGGCTAGTTGCTTTTTGGTTCTGTTCCTCTTGAGTCCCAAGGTCTTTCCTCACTTCAATCAGTGAAAGGACTGGCTCAGTCACCAGTTTCAGAAATCAGTGGGGCAACTACTAAGCTGCTGTGATTGATTGGAGCTGGAGCTTGTAAAATGGGGACTGAGGATTTGTGAGTCCAGATATCTGAAAGGACAAAAAGAAGCAGACACATCAAAGAAGGGAAATCCAGAGTAAAACTGAAAAACTGATACTCAAGGAAATGGTCTTCCTTTGCTAGTTATGTGGTCCTTTTCCAGGCCTAATAGTTGCCCCAGAGGCAGACAGGGTGGGCTTTTAGCTCGGAGGTAGGAAGTAAAGCCAACTGTTACAAGCCCTTAAGAACCAAAGTTTTCAAACCTCACAGTGCATTGGAGAATAAGGTGCTGTGCAAGGAATTTCTAACCATGGTTTGGCAGCAGGAGCATTAGGGAAGCCCTAGGACACAAGAGGGAACCAGGCTTATTTAGTGAGATGTGACTCATGAGAGACTTGAACTCAAGACTCTTTACTAGGTAGAGGTAGGAACCAATTAAGCCACCAATGCATCAAAAATGCATTCTCCTACTTTGAAGTTTCTCTCCAATTCAGGCTTTGGGAAGGAATTGTTACCTCCTCCATCTCCTCTCTTAGGCACACCCAGGAGGACAGGCCGAAATGAAAGTTGGGAGCCCACCACCCCTGTGGAGATCCTCAACACCAAAAGGTTACAGTGAACCTAAGTCTCTTAGGGAGAGGTGGTCAGCCCCTCTCTCCTAAGGCAGAAAAGCGTGGCTACTGCTTTCTTCAGCCCCAGACCTCAGGCTCTCTCCCTCTGTCCCTCCCTGTCACCACCTTCATTTTCCCAATAAGAGGAGCTTTTCCTCCACTCTTAGCTCTTGTTTATCTTTTTCAGTTTGATTGGTTTGGTTTGGTTCTTTGCTGTCTGGGAAACACCTGAGGGTGTTCATTCTTCCCAATTCTTCTATCACAGTTCTCTCTTGTCTGGTTTCTTTTTGGTCAGCCTTAAGCCTACTAGGCAGGGTCCATTCCTTATACTTCCCACTTCCTTTCTCAAATTCTTGGCTAGAGCAGCTCAACTGCCATCTCATCATTCTGTATCTCTCTCTCTTTCATGTCCGGACTTGGCCATGGCCACTGGTATTGTCATATTCAGGCCCTTTACTTCATTTCCTACAGGCTCCTCTTCCCTTGATGTAGCTTCTAAAGTGGCTCTTTACCACTACTTTGATGTACTCAGTCCTTTCCTGCCTCTTGTGACTCCTGAGAGTGAATCCCAATTCTACAAGCCATTTTTTGAGGGCTAACTATGTGCTAGGCACTGGCTGTTCCAAGCCTGGGAGATTGTGACCATGGTTCCTATACTCAGCATGTCCCTCAGCCTAGCCCTCCCTGCCACTACTTTCCTGCCATGCCTCCTGACACTGCGCCAAGGTGCTCTTTTCCAGGAAGCTGTGGGGAGGCAGGGTATAATATGCCCACTTGCCATCCAGCCCAACTATTCTGTGCCTGCCAGGTTTCTAGCAATTGTCTAACTTATTTCCCTCTGATGGTACCTCTGATGGACTTGAACTTCCCACAGGATACCCTATGGGGTACCTTTGTCTGTATCCTTAGGGATCTGTAATATGCTCTTTATGGTCCCTGTCCGTTGAATAAAAGATGTATTGGTTGTGTCACTGATTTCCTCTCTTGGTCCTTTCCTGTGCACTCCCATTCTCAGCTTTTCAATCCTGGTAAAAAGGCTGCAACAAAGTGGGGATACGAGACAGCTCTGGGGGAAGTTGTGCAGCCATGTGTGAGCCCCCTCACTGCCCCTCCTGAAACATAAACCCTTAGACACTTAGACCATTGAGTTGGCAGCCCAAGGGGGTGGTAGTGGCTGTAAATTGATCCCCTAAGCAAATTCACAATAATTGGTGATTTGTGGGGAGCTGGAGGAGATGCATGCGGATGGGATTCTGCAGGAACTGGGTCCATCAGACACATTCACTTTTGAGGATGAGGAGGTTGGGCATCTGGCAGGTTATCAAGAATACAGAGTGAAAATTTGTGTGGGAGAAAAAAACATGGACAGCTGGCATGGGGAAACCACCAGCCTCTGACCCAGTGACGTGGCCTTCCAGCCCTGGAGCTTCATGGGGACAGGGAGAGGGAACGCTTTGCTGGCTTTGAGCACAGCCCAAAGGCTTTGCTCTTCCTCTGTGGGAGTCGCCTTGCACAGCTTCAAGCCTACTGCTTAGGGGTTGCTTGGCCTCTGCAGCTTTCCCAGCAGCAGCCAGACTGTTTTGTCACCTGCCTCTGTGCTTATGTTTTCCTGCTTTCTTGCAGTTCACATTCACTCCCCCCCAATCACCTGGAGTAAAATTTGACAAGTCTGGTCTTTCCCCAAACTAAAAAGGGGAGGAGGGCAGGAACTGATAAAAGGGAGAGGGGAGACACAGCTGTGATAGTTCATGGAGGTGTCTGTGTTCTCAGGCAGCTCCCGTGGACTGTGGAAAGCCTGACTTCCTCTTCCCAGTGCCTTTCCCAGGCTCAGTCAAGGCCTCTTGCTGACCCTCCTCCCCCACCCCATACCCGCCCTGCCACCTCAGTCTTCAGTTTCTCTCTTCCAAGTCCTTTCCTGACATGGTGCCCCCATATTAATTTCCTAAACAACCCGTCTTCCTGTCTTTGCTAGGCACTTAGGTTTTGGCTGGAGTGACTACCAGTCCAACCAGACAGCCTGGCCATGTTGGAGTTCCCCAGAAGAGGAGAAAGACAGGAGAGCCTTATTGTTTTGAGAATATTGACAAATGGAAATGTTTACATGTTTGAAAACAGCCCCCTCCTGTGTGTTTCAGAACATTCTCCCCTGCAAGAAACCACTAAGTCATTAAAACATTTAGTGTAGAAATAAATTCTAAACTTCTGACCTTTATCTACATAACAAAGATGCCTTATAGAGTTAGGGTAGTGAGGCCCCATTCACCATTTATAGCTATAGTGAAAAGAGCGCCGGAAATGCAGTTAAAAATCAACTTCTAAATTGTACATATTCTAAACATCAGCTTTTTCACTTAGGATCTAAGAGACTGAGGTGAAAGTGAAATGAAACAATGCAGGCAAAAGTACAAACCACCTCATAAATGAAAAAGCTGTAATTGACAATTACGTGAAAATTTCTTCCTTATTTTTCAGCAAGCCACAATGTATAAGATTTGGAAAACACATACAAAAAAGATATGGTAAAGAGTCTCATTCCTGTGTTTTCTCCACAATTCTGATCACCTTCCCCTGATGATAGACAACCGGTTTTTTTTGTGTATCCTTCCAGAGTTTCTTTATACAAAAAAAAATGCATTTTCGTTCATTGGATATGTGTCTTGATTTTTTTTTCACTTAAATGTATCTTGGGGAGCTTTTCATAACAATACATAGAGAATCTCTCCTTTTTACAGCTGCATGCTATTTCACTGGAAGGAAGCTTCACACTTTAACCAAACTCCTCATGATATTTAGCTTATTTCCAATTTTTTGGTTACTGCAATGCGGCCCTAAATACATTGAACATGAGTCCTTTCACAAATGCATTAATGCCTAAAAGATAAATTCCTAAGTGAGGTTTTGCAGGGTCAAAGGATGTCTGTGCTCGCAATTTGGAATGCCAGCTTCCTTCTGTTGGGTGGCAGGGCACTACACTCCCACTGACCTGATGTGTGAGCACTTGTGGTCTTCCCACAGCCTCACCAATGGGGTCGGTTCTCAAATATTTTGGGTTAATTAAAAAGTCACCTTATCATTTTAATGGGCATTTCTCATGAGTAAACTTGTACCTTTCTCATATTTTTAAAGACCATTTGTATCTCTTTTGATTTTTAAATCAACCATGAATATTTGATGCTAGAGAGCATCTAAAGTTCATTACAGCTCTAACTTCCAACAATTTTCTGATCGTCATTGTACTAGGCAGTTGAGATAAAAGGGAAGCAAAGAATGGAGGTCACGGATGTTCCATTTGCTCTGACTAAAGTTAAATACCCAAATATGCCACTAGGATGTGAGCGATGAAAAGCAGGAATTGTTTTACCCATTTTTATTCCCAGAAAAGGGCAGGCACTTAGTCATTGTGAACACCAGTGATAAGATTAGTTGTTCTCTGGAATTCCTTTCATAGAAGTACCCAGCTAGGATTATGGTCTAGATAATCTAGGTAGCCTGTAGGTGTAGGTTATTTCTTCTATTTTATAAAAGTACAGCCATCCTAAAGCATATTAATCAAAAATAATCTGAAGTGACCGTTGTTGGCTACATAAGGTCAGGGTCTGACACTTAATAAATTTGGTAAGTTTACTAGTAAACAAAGTTTGTGTAAATGAAGAAATCATAATACAAAAAGAAATGTGATGATTTTTAGAAAATCTAGAAAACCAAATTGTTGCCAGTATTCTTTCCATCCTTAGAGGAAAAGGTTGCTAATTGTAGACCATCTGGTTCCTTAGGTAACAGCATCTAGCACTGTGAAGGGGCAATTCATGTGGCTGTCATGACGGCTTCGATTTTGTTGTTTCTCACTGCCTCTTTTCAGATGGCTCCCTGTTTTCAGTTTCTATATCTCAGTGACAGTTGACATTCAATATTATAATAGTCTCAGGTATGTAGCACAGTTGTTAGGCAGTTATAAAATTTATGACGTGTTGAAACAGGCAAAAAACTATACTTGAAAAATAACTAAATAAAATTATTGAGAAAAATTTATGACGTGATTCCCCCCATAAGTCTAGTTCTGACCCAGCACCCCATTACAACATTATTGACTAGATTCCCTGTGACTGTTTTGTAACTACCGACTTGTACTTCCTAACCCCTTTAGATGGCTCCGGATTCTGATTCTGATTCTGCTCGCTCCATCCGCCTGCCACTCAGTCTGACAAGAGCATGCTAAACCTAATTACATCATGGGAAATTTTCAAGTTCAAATAGTCTATGGATGAGATATTCTATAAGCATTTCGTTATTATTCAGCTTTGCAAAGGCTTAAACCAGTGATTCTTATTTAAGGGTATGACAGGGTGAATATTAGCAGCACTTCAGCTTTTTTTGTTGTTTTAAATACACATGCTCACATGTTGTTTAAATACACATGTTGTTTTAAAACATGTTTTAAATACACATATACTTCTATACCTCTTTTTTTTTTTTTAAGAATTTATTTTTTTATCTTTAGAGGGGAAGGGAAGGAGAGAGGGAGAGAAATATCAATGTATGGTTGCCTCTCATGCGTCCCCTGCTGGGAACTGACCTGCAATCCAGGCATGTGCCCTGACTGGGAATCGAACCTTAATACTCTGGTTCGCAGGCCCGCGCTCAATCCACTGAGCTACACCAGCCAGGGCCTATACTTCTATAGAAGATATGCCTGTCCTGGGAAAAGCTCAGTCAGGCATACTCTGCAAAAACTCTCCCTTGGTCTAACACTCCCCCCCACCACCACATTCACTCTCTTTTCAAGAATAAAAAGCATCCCCACCCCAGCCCTGGCTTCATGACTCAGTTAGTTGGAACACAGTCCTGTACACCAAAGGTTTCAGGTTTCATCCCCAGGTGTGGGTTCCATCCCTGGTCAGGGCACAAATGGGAGGCAGCTGATCAATGTCTCTCTCTCCCATTGATGTTTTTGCTCTCTCCCTTCTAAAAAAAACCAGTAAAAACAAATCTTTGGGTGGGGGTGGGGGTAGGGGGAAAGCTCCTCCCATGTCCTTCCCTTTTCCCCACTCCTTTGGCTTCAACTGGAAACAGCAAGTTTCCCTGAATCAGCTACTCTGCTCTCCCTCCCCAGGATCATTTCCGTGTGCCATCATGGCCTATGGCAGAGAGCTATGACAGGAGTGCAGGAGTCCCACGCTGCTCTGAACTCCTGCACTCAGAACTAAAAGGAATCGTACATTTGCTTCATGCTTGATATAGAGTGCTCAGTGCATGTTGTTTATTAAGCAAAAGAACTAGCTATTCATTATCTAACCTCCCCCATCTCCTTATATTTCTGATATGCATTCTGTGACTTCGTAGTTTACGCTCAAGGAGTTGGTACTTTCTCAGTCAAAAATTCCCTTACTGAATTTTGTCAATCAAAGCATATGTAATGTTAAAAATTTTATTTTAAATTTTTTATTTTACTTAAAATAAAAAGTCATCCTAGTCCAATCCTAACACTTTACAGAGAGGGAAACCAAGACCACGAATAGTTTAAGTGATAATTCAGCTAAGTTCCGAGGGGCAGAACTTCTGTTGGAATCCTGGTCCCATTAGGCACCGATCCAGTAGTTTGCTGCTGCAGCACATCACCCCCCCAGCAGGGATTGTTCACACTCATTTAACTCTCAGTGGTGAGCAACTACCTTGGGCCAAACCCTGTGCTGGATGCTTCCTTACACACTCTCATTTAACTCAGGATTAACGTATAAATCACTTTTAATATGATCAAGTCAAGGCAAAAACTAGAAAGCCATTACAATCAGTTCGGGGAGAAGGAACTTTTTCCTGAAAGGAATTTAGGTAAGAGTACTTTGGGTCTGTGGGGCGGACTATCCCAACGATGCCCCTACTTCTCACCTTACACGCCCTCTCCCCCAAAATGAATTTGGATTTGCAAGGGTGTGTGACATTAATTCAACACTTCTGCCTAATCCCTTGAAATTGCTGTTTTTCTTCTGCTTTCTTCTGAAAGGCATTTTCCTGGGTCCTGTAGCAATACCATAAATCCAACTCCTTTTTCTCTTTTCACCCTGCTACAGGGCTTCCCCTCAACAACCTCTCCCCCCACCACCTTCCCCAAGTGGACAAAGAGAAAACAGACACAACTGTGGTGATTTGAAAGGTCTTGTGAATAGCTTGTCCATTTCAATGAGCGTGAGAGCTGCTCTAATTGAAGTCGTATGGGGAAAAGCATCTAGGCCTGGAGGAGGGGAAGTTGCTCCCACACTAAGGATTCCCAGCTGCATTCCGAGGGCTTTCGGGTTTAGTGGAAGTCTTTGTGCGAGCAGCCCTTGAGATAGTTTTAACTGAAGGTGACCTCTGGATGGTCCGTTTTACCGGCTTCTCGGGGTCCTGCGTCTTCTCTTCCCTTGGCCTCTTCTTGTCTTGAGTCCTAGGCTTGTCTTCCTTCATGGTCTGTCCTTTCCCTTCAACAGTCACCTTGGTCTTTCTTTCCTCCTTAGCTCTGGAACGCCTCGGGTTCTTGGGTCTTGGCCTTGACTTCAAGGCAGTCTCCGCCCTCGCATTCCGTCTCCATTCTTGCCTGGCCTTCTTGGCCGCCACGCGGCGCACACGGCACTTCCGTGGGACCCGTGACCCCACAGGGGTCCTCCTCGGGGACCCAACGCCCTCCTCCAACCTCGGGCGTCCTGGCTTTCTCTTGGGCTTCGGAATCTTCCAGACCCTGAAATAGCCAGAGCCGTTGCTGCCGCTGATCCTCATGAGTGTGCCCTTAAAATCAGACTTGGGCATTTCTCCAGAGCGGCACCACTTTCTGCGCATTTGGTAACCAGCCTGTCCCAGCTCCTTCTTGAGAGTGGCCAGAGGCAGCCCATTGTGCGAGGTGATGGAGGTGATGGCTCTGAGCAACACCTCGGACACTCTAAGCGTGAAGTGCGAGTCCCGCTTCAGTGGTGCCCTGAAGATTTTTTCAGCGGGCTGCTTGGTTTTAACTGCAGCATCTTGGGATTTGCCACTTGGCTCGGTGGCCTCAGCCAAGGCCTCGGCCACTTCAGCCATGGCCCTGCTCTGCCTTCTGCCTCCGCAGTGCTGTTGATTTGGGGATTCACCTAACAAGGAATGAACTAGCTCTGAGGCTGGTTTAGCCACATCACAGAGGCAGGGCAACGTCACAGAGTAAGGGCCACGTCACAAAGGTAGGCCCAGCCGAGAGGTTCGGGTCCTAGTGAACCCTCCTAGATGGGGATTTTTTTTTCCCTAATAAACTTCCTTCCAGGTCTAAAGCAATCCAGATCTTCCAGGCCAATGAAGAACCTCCTTTATAATCTTCCAGGTTTTGTTCCCTGCTCTTCTGCTCACACTTCTCACAGACCTTGATCTCAACCACTTTTTGAAGTTCACTAGTTTTCTGTGAAAAAATAGTGCATACCATCTACCCACATTTCCCTAAGGGGAGAGATGCTGCTCTCAACTATCCCAAACAGCCATAGGATGCCTTTAAAAAGCAAATGTGGTCAAGTCTGTAAGATACAGCCTTGCCCAGAAATGCCCACTTTTAGCTGCCATGAGTTAGGTGTCCACAGCATGTCTCCCTGACTCTCTGCAAAGGAAGGAACCCCTGTGCTTCCTCTACCCTAAACAATAATTCCCACACCTAGGAAGTTCAGATGTTTCATTCTGTTGGAGTAGAACAATCAGACTCCAAATCGCCTAAGAACACTGGCCTAATCATTATTCTTTGAACAGACTTTGTGCTCTTCTCCCTCCAGTTCCTCTGGCATTGTCTATCCCATTTTTCTCTCCAGATAAACTCTGCTCATCATTCAAAGACTTGCTAAATCCTTTCTTGACTTGAGTCTCACCAGACTCTTTCAGTCAAATGATTTCTCTCCTCTTAACCACCACAATTACTCTTGCAATCCTATATTCCTTTTTCTTTATTTTAAATTAATTTGGTATTCAAGGGTACAATGTACCACGATATTTTTTAAAAGAAAAAAATATCTGGACATGGAGCTGGAAAACATGAATACATATCCTAGCTCTTTAATAGCCATGTGACATTGATACATCTCTTAATATCTTTGGATCTGATTTCAAAAAAGAAAAAAAAAAGCCAGTAGTCCTTTCCTGCCAACATCACAGAATTATTGCAAAGGCTCAGAGGAGGTGATGGTAAATAACAAAAGGCTACCCAGATATAAGATATAAAATTATTTTACTCTGTTTGTGTCTTTCCAACTAAATGGAAAGGTCCCTGAGAGCCAGATAGTCTCTGAGTTTCTATGCCCCATCCCATACCTAACACTATCTTTCATTATACGCAGAAGGCGTTTGACTGAGTCTGCTTAAACTCCTCCCTGGCAAGGAGGCTTTCTCTGGATTAGGAAGGAAACTCCCAGAAAATCAGGAGAAAGAAGCAGGATGAATTTCAAAGGAATGGAATTGAAGGGACTGAAGAAGCTAGTCGCTCACGGACCTCTTATTTTAGACAGAATTTAATTGGGAATAGTTCAAAGAATACCTCATACTGCAAAGCATGTCATACTTTCCCAGAGGACATTCACATATACTGAGTCCACGGCAATATAGTTTCTTCCAGGAATCAAAGTCCTAGGAAGTGGCTTAGATCGCACTTCTTAAGCATAAAAGCACACTTCATAAGGTACAGATTCTAATAATCAGGTCTGGGATGGGGCCAGAAGTTGTATCTCTAACAAACGCCCAGGCAATTCCATCTGGTTAAAATATGTGTTGAGTGGTAGAGGGGAGAGTACACAATGAGAAGGGCAGTGAGAGCAGAAAGGGGGCATAGGGCCCAGATGTGAAGGACACACACCGTAATAATGACACAACTGTAAGGGGTCACCCAGCAGTAAGCGGTAACGTTTGTATTCAAACCTGAGTCTATTTAGTTCTAAGGCCTGAGTTCTTAACAACAATACTGTGTGCCTGGTTTCCCTTTCTCCAAGATTGACCCTCCCCACCTTACATATCTCCATCATAAAGCAAGGGGAAGTTTATCTCCATAATCACAGCTCAAAGTCAAGAGTATCTACAAGAGTATCACTGTACCTTCTTCTAGTGTTGTTTTTAAAATATATAATCTTTATTATATTTTTCCATTACCATTTAGTCCCCTTATACCCCTCTCCCCACAACAATCACCACACTGTTGTCCATGTCCATGAGTCCTTTTTCCTTTTTGCTCCATCCCTCCACCCCCTAAACTTTGCCCCCAGAGCTGTCAGCCTGCTCACTATCTATGAGTCTGTCTCTGTTTTTCTTGTTAGTTCAATTTGTTCATTAGATTCCACATACAAGTGAGATCATACGGTATTTGTCTTTCTCTGACTGGCTTATTCCACTTAGCATAATGTTCTCTGGGTCCATCAATACTGTCACAAAGGATAAAATTTTCTTCTTTTCTATGGCTGAGTAGAATTCTATTGTGTAAATACACCATAGTTGTTTTATCCACTCATCTGTTGTTGGGCACTTGGGCTGCTTCCATATCTTGGCAATTGTAAATAACACTGCAATAAATATAGGGGTGCTTATGTTCTTTCAAATAAGTGTTTTGGGTTCCTTTGGATACAGTCTTAAAAGTGGAATTGCTGGGTCAAAAGACAGATCCATTTTTAATTTTTTGAGGTATCTCCATACGGCTTTCCACAGTGGCTGCAACAGCCTGAATTTCCACCAACAGTGCAAAAGTGTTCCCTTTTCTCCACATCCTCACCAGCACTTGTTTTTTAATTTACTGATGACAGCCATTCTGACAGATGTGAGATAGTATCTCACTGTGGTTTTTATTTGCATTTCTCTGACCATTAGTAATGTCGAGCATCTTTTCATATGTCTACTGGCCATCTGTATGTCCTTTTTGGAGAAGTGTCTATTCAGTTCCTTTGGCCATTTTTTAATTGGGCAGTTTGGTTTTTTTGGTGTTGAGTTGTGTGAGTACTTTATAGATTTTGAATGTCCCAGTGTTAAATCAGGGCAGAGTACTGTGAACCTGAGGCTCTCCAAGGGCAGGGGACTAACACATCAGCACATGGACAGTGCACCATGGAAGAGTTGCCAGATGGACAGTCAGAGCCACGTGAAGCAGACTTTCTCCCGTTTGTGTAGTCTCTTGGTCTGGCTATACTTCCTGGTTGCATAGACCAGTGGCCACAGGATGGGGCAACCTCCAAAGGAAAGGAGAGAAAAAAAGTATGCTTTGAGAGTAGGAGGAAAGTCATTGAAATCTGACCTTCAGATCATCTGATTCCACGTAAAAATAGGTGGAGGCACACAGTGGTATCATCGTGCGTGAAAAACAAGAACCAAATCAAACAACCATGTTTATTAATGCTCCTGCGATTGCAAAGGAGACCAATTAGAAACCTCTGGGAAAACCTGAAGTGAAAGGAAAAGATATACAGGATTTGGCAGAAGTAAGGCCTGCGTGAGTGTGGTTGGTAGGGTAATAATATGAGTGTAATAATTTATTGTTTTAATTTGAACATTTCACCTAAAATGTTGTATAGTGTGCTTGAGCGTGCTGTTATTATGCTACAGAATTAATGCTTATGGTTTTGTAATAAAAGACTTTATTACAAAATTTTATTTTGTAATAAAAAAAGGGGCGTTATTTATGCTGGACCCTATATATAAAAAATATATCAGCTCTGGCTGGTGTGGCTCAGCGGATTGAGTACTGGCCTGTGAACCAAAGGGTCACAGGTTCTATTCCCTGTCGGGGCACATGCCTGGGTTGTAGGCCAGGTCACCAGTAGGGGGTGCACGAGAGGCAACCACACACTGATGTTTCTCTCCCTCCCTTCCTTCCCCTCTCTCTAAAAAACAAATAAATAAAATCTTAAAAGAAAAAAATCATATCAAAAACACCTATGGCAAAAAAGCAAACATTTTCATTTATATATAACCATTTATTTCTATATAAGTTTCTGTATAAATATGTTGTAAGTAATAGAAGAATAATAAAAATGAGAGGTAAGAAATAAATGTCTACTACTACTCAACTGGCTTAGAGAACAAGAAATCCAGCTGACATTTTCCATGGCACCAATCTCTTAGAGTTCTTTCTTACTCTTTGGAATAAATCTACTTGCCAGCACTCTTCTCTTGATACCCCAAAAGGAAAAAAAATACTTCAGAAAAAAATTTATTTAGTAATAGAGTCAATACAAATCAGTATTTACCCCTAATTAGGAAATACGAACCCAAGCTCCAGAAAGACAACTATCCCTTCCAATTTGAATAGTCTCTTATTATAAACCAGAAGTTATCACATAGAGAGGACACAGTCACCCTGTTGTGAGAAAGAGCAGCAGTCCTTAACTTCTGGACACCTTGTGGGTTAGGGATGGGGGTGGGGGTGTGTTGAGAGGGGATACCAGGGAACGATGTCTAGCTTAAATTTTCCTGCTTCAAGTTCCAGAGCAAGATCGTTTTGTTCTCAGTTGGTAACAAGAATCTTCCTTTAGGCCTCTCTGAAGTCTCTAGAGGAACTTGGTTGATTTAAACTTTAATTACTGTACTAAACTTTGAGAACATCAGAGATTTCAATTAATCTCACTCCCTCATACAGAGTTACACAGCTCTAACTTCACTAAGGATAACTCCATGCCAGAGAGCAGCAAAAATTAGTAGCACACTTTGATCTAACCTCAATGTGTAACTCACTGCCCCTCCCTAATCCACATGCCTGGGATTCCAAGGCGTTTGGTCTTTCTGGGTCAATTATCTGGCAGTGAGTCAATTTACCTCTAGGCAGACTGAATAACAGAAACATTGTCAACAATGTATTATAACTCCCCCACTGACCTTAAACTGCTAGTTCTTTTTTCCAAAAAGGAACTTTTCTTCTCATTTTGTTTTATATTCTAAGACCTTTTTCTCCTCCTGAACTATTATGTACCTTCTACTCTAATGCAAATGACCCCACAGGAGTTATTTGAGCAAATAAGCCCACCAGTCCACTCATGGCTTTGGGGAAGACTACAGTGGTTCACAAAAAGGAATGCAAAAATAAAATAATGAGATTCCTT